CCTGTAAAATGATACCAAACTCGACTATACTTGTCATTTGAAAATTTTGAGCTACCCCCTACCCCCGCTACCCCTAATGGCAAAATCTTCAAAATTGACCATAATTATTGTAGCCCTTCATATCTAAGAAGGTTGCCGCAAACCGATTTCAAATATCTCAAATGGTTGAAAAGTTTAGTGGGGGTGCAAGTTACTTTTCTGCCACCCTGTATATTTAACATATTATAACTTAGACAGAATATAAAGGGAATGAACATTTTCGTCACTGAACCAGTCGAGAACTAAACACAGTAAAGAGTGGACACAAAGTTGATCTAGTTATCTTGCTTCCTGTCATTTATCTTTTATAAACTGCCAAAGCAAACAAAGTTTATTTTCAGAGTATATTCTAAGAAATTGCATCTGTTTTTGTAAATCTGAATTCGTTATGTTCATGTTAAAACACTAGCAAATCTTGAGTTTAAAATATTGAAAATGTAATTCGGATGTCGTACAATTTGACCAGCCTTAAGTACCATAATATAATGATATTAATTTCATGCTGCTTGTATTTTTATAATATAGTCAAAGTTATAAATTTTCATGAATTTTGGCAATTTATACAAATTCAGATTACATGTAATTTCTTTCTGAGTAGTGCTTCAAATATTGTGGTACTGGTATTACGTTATACGAATAAATAACCTCTTGATTAAAATCGTACGTGTTATTAAATTTACTGGGAGTACATTAAAAATGCGTCTACTAACATATATATATACTAGTGCACCTGTTGCTCGAATTCGAACTATTGCAAAGTGTTACGGGCGTTATTTCAAAACTAATAACAGTAACAATTTATTTGTTTTAGTTTGCAATTAATACAAAACAATATTCGTCTGTTTGAGTAAACAAAATCTTAACTTCATAAGAAATACAATGGGATTTTGATGGCCTGTGGGGCAAAGCCTGTGGACGTTTATTGCATGAATTGGTAAAGGGGATGTCTACACAAAAAATACTTAATGTTGACATATCGTTAGTAAAAAGTAGTGTTTCGTAGAATATGATATGGGGTGGTCGATTTCGATCGGACAACTCCAATCATCCCCAGAACCAATAGGCGAATGATCATCCTTTATTGTATTTACCGTCTTATGAGTCTATAGTATAAGTGTAAAAATATATATTACAAGCGTTATTAGACGTATTCGTATGCACTTGCAACTGTAACGTATTAGGATAGGCACATATAAAGTTGGATGGGCTCACTTTTGTGAAGCGAATTTTCCACAAACTGCTGATTAATAATGCACCTGTTGCGAGCTCGTTTCCGATAACAGTGTAAAAACATATGTTTTATTTACCTTTTAAAAACGTTCCAACATTTTCGTTTCGTTCTTTTAATTAACTAATTTAGTTCGGAACACAAAGTTGCCAACATAAACAAAGACTGCGAACAGTTCCAGGAATTTGATGGTCCAGCTCATCAATTAATTTTGACTCTGATTACTAAGTACTGGGCATATAAACATCGACTTTGCCGCAAGCAAACGCAGTTGGTGTTTAACTTGAAATATTCGTACTCCCATGTAACTTTAACATTTATATTGGTATCGGTTTGTTTAAGTTATACTGTGACATAAGTAATGTATTCACAGACTACTGACGATTAATGAAACTAGGACGCACTCACAGTCCGTCCTTATGTCAGCTTAGTATTAATTGCGTTATATATAAGTAACATCAAAATATAGGCCACCAATTACAATGTATCAGAATTTTATTTTATGCATATATTCTCAATTTTGTGAATTTAAAACGAGACGTTTAATCCTGAGTTGGTAAACTTTGAACTTCCTGGAGGGAATGGAATTGTTTGAATGTTGCAGCTCGAAACTTGAACGCAGTGAAACCAGTGATGGACAGTAGGCGGATTTTCTTTCTTTTCCTTTCTTACCGTTCTCCTAACCATCGCTTGCACTGTTACACTTGTATTTTGTTATCTACAGGAAACATGCGTTGTTTATTTACCTTCTATATAGTATTGCATTCTCGAGGTTCTTTCAAAATATTACTTTTACAATCAGTTCAAAATATACACTTAACAGGTTCAGTACCAGCCGTCACACTTCTCTGTTATGTAGAGTCTCCTGACACACGGGAGTGAGTGTGTTAATACACACAAAGTATTATGTTCGTTTACTTTTGGGATTCGTATGACCAATGATTAGAATGAGTCATAATTAAAAAGCAATCTCAGTATTTCAGAGATTCTACTGTATATGAATATTTTACCAACGATAGCCATATTTTTTTTAAAATTTTATTTTAATCCCACCGTTAATGAGTAAGTTGCACGGACATTTTTTTAAAGAATTTTGTAATTTTTGGTTTATAAAAAAATATATTTTGACAAGACTAATATTTAAATTTCTGTTGCACAATGTTTTAGCTATATTTATAAATAAATGTACTATTTGCACTACCTCTATAGCAGCCCCAAAACCTACTACTAAATGAAGCATGGATTCTAAAAAATCTGTATTCATAATCCGCACTAAGATCCATTGGTATGTTCTATAAAAGTAATAATTAAAATAATATTTGATGACTAAGCAAGTAAGCTTCTGGACCCTAGATTTCATTTATGAAACTTAATAGCAAGGTTGGAGTTTGACTTTCATATAATAAAGGGCTAAATGTGTCGACTATTGTGAAGAAAGGATAGGATTATAAGTTCATAATGAAATATGATAAAATAAAAGCCCACAATCAAATACTTTTTGCAATGGATACTTTTGAAGATTCCGTGTAAATTTTTCTTTGAATAATAATTTAAAATTGATCCGTCAACAAATATCTTAGATACATTTTTGTATTACCTTATTTTCTTATTTATTAGATTTATTAATATTTGTAATACAATTCGAGTCAGATTCAAATTCAACGATATAAATCAGAGTTTCACGAAAAAAATAAAACTGCAAAAGCGAAATGACAAATTTAATTGGCAGAATAATTTACTCGTTTTGTAATTAGATCTTGTGAAATCGTTTGTTCTAGGAAAAAGTTTAAGCTTCGTCCGAATGGAAAGTCACAATAATAATTAAATATGCTGGCAACATCGGTAAACACTTGCATAACTTAATATTGTTGGGGTATAGATAAATCATTAGGGACTATGTTTTATCTATGGTTTGGGGCTAGATCTTGTTCGAAACAACTTGCGTTCTATGACGTTTACTTAAATCCTTAACAATTTGTTTGATATATACATCATATATTTCAGAACTTCTTTTCAATACAGTTGCTTAGTTATACAACTACTCGTATGAACATCATTTCTCCAGTAGGCTAATATATAATTTCTTTTTAGTTAAAACATGTTTGAGAGAATAGGTTGTAGCAAATGTTTCCAATTTTTTTTCTATAGAATGTCTCAAATAGCATTATTGTGAGGTAGCTCTATAAATCCTTTTTATATATTCCATAAATTGAGCTGTATTATTTGTTGTATAAGTGTAGCTTTTTTGTTATGGTTCCCAGGAAAATTGTATTCTTTTAGATTATTTATTATATTAATTTCAACAGTAAATGGTGTTTTTTATTTATTGTTGTTTTATGTATATTGTGTACCTAAAACCTGGCCGACGGCCCTTCCGGCCAATGTCTAAAAATTGTGTAAAAGATGTGTTATAACTGAGAATGTAAAAAAAAAACTCAAAGCAACAATAAAGCACCCTTTCTCCTTTTTCATTCTTCTTCTTGAATTACAATTTTAGCTTAGCTATGGATTACAAATTAATAACTAACTGTTTCAGCTTTAACGTCTGACGACTAAAATGTTATCTTGTCCCCATACACTCAAACTAATTGAGACACCAAAGAGTTGAACTCTTTCAATGCAAAGACCCCGAAATAGCTCAGTAATGAATAACAAAAAGACTAATCATCAAATTAAGGTTCCGATAAAGGCCTACAAAGGTGGTGAAAATTCGACTTCAAACATTGTTAACCAAAACTGGACTGTCTTTAAACACAATATACATGGTTTCCATGCGTATTTCCGCAGATAATATAATATGCAAATAGCAAAACAATGCAATATATGATAAGTTTTTAACTAAAATACAAGTTAAAAGTTGTTTTGTTAATAAGAAAAATTACATTTTATTGTAGTTTACGCAACGAGCGCGTAAGGCTAATTACTCTATTTTACCTACGACCGTGCCTTAATTACTAAAAATCACTACACATAATTTTCAAGAGAGGTTATGTTTTTGTTTATAGCCTCTCGCTCTCATTGCTACTGATTTGTGATTCAACTACATACTGACCCAACCACTCGCTCATTATTTTAAATCGGTCTTAACAGCTGATAAGTTGACGTTCGAGGTATTACAATCTTACTTCTTTTCTCTCAATTCTTGGATCTCGTTGGTCCAAACTTGTAATATGAGTAATAAAGCAATACTTTAAGTGAATCTATTCAACTCTAAGAACTACATTGAAAATTCTATTTAAACACGGTCGTAGGGGAACTCTTTTACGTTAATAACTCAATAGGTAATATCAAGATGTATAGTAAACCCCAAATTATAATAAATATAGTGAGCGAGGATCCTAACAGCTGATTAGGGATATTTCTGCCAAAAGCTTGCATACAGACATTTTCCCTAAGTAAAAATATCTAAAGCCTCTGACTCAAACATTTGTGTCTGGCTATTGGTTATTACCACTACATTTCCTGTATAAATGTAGAAATAATGGAAAATCTATTTATTAAATTTAAGACTAAAGTTGTTAGTTATGAGGTTGAAGCATATTTCGCACATATTAAATTGAAGCCCCAATCGTAACAAGGTTTCAATGATAAAGTTGTAAGTAAGTTATTTTTTCTCATTATAACAGTACTGTCCTAGATTGATTTGTAGTTAAGCCATCACACACGTATTTAAAACATTTCTATGAGTGTATACTAAACATATGAATAACAATTAATGGTTATTGTTTTTCAGGCTAAAAATGGCTCTATGCACCACTCCAACGTGTTCAAGAGGAATAGTTATATTCTTCAATTTTCTATTTTGGGTAAGCTCTTAGTAATAAATCTATCGCCTGTTAAGTTTATTGAACATTAAGTTCAACATTTTACTCATCCGACAGTAAAATAGTGACATAAATTTTACGATATACAAACACTACTGTAATACAAGTTATTTAATTTTTTTTAGTTAGTAAGCATGGTCATCTAAGTAAGTAAAATATTTGTATATCATGAACGTTTGACCATAAATTCCTATAAAGGTGGTTAAGATTTTTTAAGTGTTGTAAACCTGTTTATAAAACAGCTTAAATGAAGCTGACGAATAACTAATGAACTCAGTACCAGAGTTTGAGTTTATGCTGTGTTTACTGTGCGTATTTATTTTCTTCAAGTTTTAATTTGGTGAAACATTTAAAAGCTTTAAAGTAGCATCTTAAAATTGTTTAGGTTTGATGGAGGTTATATTCACTTAACTTGCTGATTAGGATTAATATATGGTGGGATGGTGGGATATGATTCTTTGAACTGGGTACTACTCACCTTAACATAATTAATAATGCAATTATATCAGTTACATAGTAAAATCATATGACACATTACAAGGATACAGACTCAATAATTCACACAGCTGGACTTTTAATGGCAACTGTGCCCTTCGTTAGCATGAAGCCAATCTGCAAGTGACTCTTCATTATTGTGAGAAATAATGAAGACATAAGTTTGCCGAGGTGTACTTTTCAATAAGTTTCTTCACCGTAAAAACTGCCTAACACAAAATACCGTTGTTGTTTAACATTATAATGACTTATGTTAATCTCCTAACATTACTAGAACTTGTGTTTATAATTACATGAACTGACTTTAGCTATTACTAGAAATAGAAACACACTCTTAGTTCAAGAAGTAGCTTGATCACATATTCGGGGTTTCGTTTAACACAGGCTGTCACCGTACTAATTGAAAAAGTTATTTGAAACCTTCCATCTAATCGTTAAAGTTGACCGCATGTATTTTTTTTTTCAAATGGAAGCCTTTTAAACATATTTTTCTGGATGTAGCGAAGCACCTCACCGGTTTCTATCGGGATTTATTGTGTTAAAAAGTATTGGCCTAAAATATAAATTTGTTAATAGATACAATGTTTATTGTTTCATAGACTCAGGGCTATACAACCAACCTGTAAAGCAACCTCAAGAGCAACCTGTAGAGTCATAACCACGCACTATCACTTTAAATAATATGTTTCTCCACCTCCGGTGTCACTACCCTTGCATCACTATATAACAACTCACCAATCTTCTCAGCTAGAGTAATCAACTACAACCACCCCAACCACAACACCAACACCAATAACAACAAACCCTCAATGACTTCAGCACCCACCCACCACAACTAATAAGCCTACAGACTTACCCTTCCAAGTACTTGCGGTATTTGGTTTCTCATCGAATTTTCGTAACACATCCAGCGAGTATCAAAACTCCATACCTCTGCGATGGGTGGAGGGACCAAATTGGACTAAGTTAACTCACAGAGAAGTAATATAAATATTTATATTACTCATATTTATACTCATATTTATTTATACTCATTACTCATATTTATATTACTTCTCTGTGGTTAACTCATCATCCACTTTAACGTTACAACTATTCTATAGGCTATGGAACTATTTTACAGTATATTACGTTACAACTCTATCAAATGTGTGTGTGTAATGTGTTAATGATTAGTTAAAAAAAAGTCAATACACTAATGTAAAATCTATTAGTCAACAAATATCTTACAGATATTATTTTGTGGTCTATGTAAGATAAATGTCAATAAGGAATTTTATTATAGTTTATTCAATATTATTAGGATATTTCTCATTTAAATTAATGATAAATTATAGTTTAATAATCACAGAAAATTATAATTACGTAGAGAGGTTTTGTGAGGTTACTACTGGAGAAACTCATGTTATAACTTAGTTTGAATTTATTATTGTAATAGGCAAATAATAACAAAGTGAGGTTTAATTCAACTGCTTCAGTGTTCTGTAATTTTCAAATAGAAAAAATACTTAAAACAAAATGAGAAAATTTAATTGGTAGAATCATTTACTCGTACTATAATTAGTTCTGGTGAAACTGTTTGTTCTAGCAAAACGTTTAAGCTCCATTCGACTGCAAAATAATAATGATTAATTACGCTGCCAATTTATTTGAATACTTACAAAATTAAATGTTCTTTTTAGGTTCATTATTGTTTGGTACGACTTTAGTTCTTTGGTGTTTACTTCTGTGCTTTTGAACGTTTTGAACGAGTGGCGTATGATATTTTACAACCCTTTCCTAACCTAAAACAACTGACACAATTTGTTTTATGTTCCCACACTTTTTTTCTACACCAGTGGCATTACACAAGAGGACCAGAGGACGGAGATCTTTTCCGGGGAGCACCCCTACCGGAAGCTTGCATAGCCAGCTTTGATTTATCCTAATACAACGAATTTACTTAAACTATCCTTCCAAAACTTGTCAGCTAGAAAATTACTGTGTGTGAGATGATTTGGTGGTGATTGAATTAATTAAATCAGAAATAACTATGAATTTACCGAGATAAACTGTGGGCCCCACTGGGGAAAACGTGTTACCCTTTCATGTTTAAAATGGTCAAGAAATGGTTTTGAATGTTTTGAACGAGTGGCGTATGATATTTTACAACCCTTTCCTAACCTAAAAATACTGACACTATTTGTTTCATGTTCCCACAATTGTTTCTTTTTTCTACACCAGTGGCATTACAAAAGAGGTCAACACGAGAGAATAAAGATTTTGTGAGTGTGCCGGGAATTGAGCCCGTCCCAACGTTACCGATGTCCGAGACGTCCAATACATTGATAATTAATTATATTAACGAAATATTTTTAGCTGGTGTCCGGAAAAAATCAAGATCATACAGTGAAACATAATAAATTCCCATTTGATTAATCAGACGATAACAACTGTTCCAATCTAAATCCAAGCTTGGAACCACCCCACTTGTCCGGTAAACACTTGTTTTCCAGAGTAGTAACGTAATGTACTATTACGACATCACGACTATTTTAAGGTTATAAACCTTAACTACTGCTGCTCCAGGTGACGGGGTCCTGCCTGATACTACTGGGGTTCTACGTGCTGTTGGATGCCTCCAAAGCCCATCTTCTTCACCTAGTCGCCACCGAGGGTGAGGCAAAGTACTGCATTGTTGTAATCTCCTACACGTTGTTCCTCATCGGCTGCGGGATGATGGGACTAGTGTTCATGGGCTGCTGCAAACTGCACTCCAAGCCTTGGCTTATCACTACGGTAGGTGGTTGTATTTATGCTATAAGGAGCAACATGTTAAAATAAATTATTTTGTACTTAACTAGCGTATATGCAATGGATTATCCTTACTAGGTAACAATCTCACCTCTAACCAGATACCGGGTACGCAGAACAGACCTTATAACTTTGGATGCACATAACTCGTCTAATTATTATTCTATATTGAACTTGACACCTAACTAATTACAAAGCGCCTTGCTCTTAACTCATGAGACATGGTACTTTGATCTTATTAAACTTTAAGATTTGACTAACAGCCTGTGGAGCTGTTACTCTATTAAAGCGAAGGTCACAATACAAATTTCAATTAAAACCCTAGGTTTAGTTCAAATTGTACGCTATAAATATTATATTTTACTTCTTAAATTAAAATTTGGTTTCTCTTGGGTTCATTCTAAAGCATTTAAAATATTTTAGTTTTTATGTAAGGGGTTCGAGCTAAGCTTTGTTTTAAAACTATCGGAAGCGTCACATTTTAGAACATTTCCCGAAATAATAGGTTAGTGGCAAATATAGTCTATATCTATGATTAATCAACTTTTGGAATCAAACCATTAACACATCAAGTCATTAGGCTTTGAAAGCAAGGTGTATAGCTTTCCAACTAAGTAATGCATTATAGCTGAAGGTTTTCAAAGCATACGTAAATTGCTATTCTTCTGACAAATCGACATCATTCAAGCCTTAGTTTGTAACAAAGATTAAAATTGTTTTCTTATTTAAGTTAGTAAATATGTTTGTTGCAGGAAAGTTTTTTGTAATTGACTATCACTTTCTAATGTTTTGCAGTACCTTACAATTATGGTGGTCCTGGAACTTATTGAGATCATCGCCATCTTGGTGATCGCCACTTCTCGCAGCTCGATGCTGATTGACCTGCAGGGCAGACTCAGTGACCAGCTGAAGACAGACTACGGTCACCAGAACAACAACAACATCAACACCCACGGCAACAACGTCTTCACACAATCCCTCGACTATGCGCAGTACACGGTATGTTCACTTTGGGTGCGATGAGCTAAGTAAATATACTGCTGGAACAACAACGATTTATCAGCAGTGTCAATTGGAACGAAAATAATTAAAATTACGTTTAACTTTGTACTGCAACCTTCCCCCACTTTATTACTGGATTTATATATATTAATTAGATAAAATAATTCGAATAAAGTTACAACACTGATAAATTTTGTTCTACAACCTACTTTACAATATTCTCCTGGGCTAGGTTTGAGGGATCTAATATGAGTTATGAGAGTACAATTTAGAAAGTTTTTAGCCTATGGTACAGTCACTCTGATTTATATCTTCTGATTCAATGAATGACAACCCTGTTATTAAATTACTTGATGGTAAATCTTAAATAACTGAAAGAATAATTTTACTTCAAATTTTGTTCGAATAGGATGATAAAATGTTTCTGAATAAAATGTATAGTTCACAAGGGACTAAAGGTGGTGATTGGATACTACTGATGGTTTAACTGTTTATATTGGATATTACCAAATCGCTGCTGAATATTCTTCTTTCTTCAGATTTCTTTATAAAGTAAGTTAAATTCTTCTTGTTAAAAAAATAAATACATTTTTAAGTTAAGTTATTTTAAAGTTTTAAGTTAAAAGTTAAATACATTTTACTTTTTAATCATACTTCTTAAATAACTGGAGTCTTGGCTCCCAGCCAAGGTTTTTTCCAGGAGGTGGCTTACTTCACCATGGTTTTTACTCAAAAGCGCATTTCTTTTAATTTGTTGCTGGTTAACTTCAACAATGCAAGCTTAACACACACACATGGTACATCTAGACAGTATACAGGAAATATTTATGGCCAGGCACTTGTAGCCTATACTTAATTTTTAATACATTATTGTTGAATAAAGTATTTTTTATTAGCCACTAATTTTATTCCTAATTACATTTAAATATTCTTAATAAAATTATTTGCCACGATTATTATCGTTGAATATAATTAATAAACATTGGTGGTTCTTGGAGGCATTTTAGTTACAATTTACAACATGTTATTTTATAACGGATAGAATATTATACATAATGTGGTTATTTATATTTAAATAAATTCATGTTTTTTCTCAGTACATTAAGCTATCTGCCACGCTTTTTCAGCAGGAACTGCGAGTGACATTTTCCTTACATCGTTCTGATAATTAACTTTATTATCAGGTTTATATATTTACGGTCACAAAACAGTAAAAATACCTTTAGTGCGTCATGATATGATTTAAAGTAGCTTTATTTCTTTAGTTCAAAAGGGTTTTTTGTTGTATGAATAAATGAAAGATGGTTAACAGACATTAAACAAGTTGTATTTCAAATTTAGAAATTTAATGATGGTCAAAAATCTTTTACAAAATCTTTTTGTCCTAGAATGTCACAATGGACGAATGTTTTTTGAAAATAAGCTATGTTTTGGAAACTATAAAAACAAAGTAGAGCCGTGCTAACAGTATACGTGGTGACTCATTTTCTACTTAATTTTTTAGCTTTTTACAACTCTTTTTACAACTCTTTACAACTACAACTCTTTTTACAACCTAAACTATTTTATAGGCTTTAGATTCATTTAATCTTATTGGTCATTACAAAGTGTTGCTAATTAAACTATTTCTATTCTCAATCGCATGTTAAAAAAAAACTGTTCAAAAAAAACTATTGAAAAAGAACAATACAAAAATGTATAATAGTTATTATAGGATTGTGAAAACTAGGTAACGTATGTTTTTACTAGTACTAGTTAAAAAATGAAAATTATAATTTCTTATAGGGTCAGAGTAAAGGTCTAGATTCTCTAATTAGCTTGTTACGACCAAGAGTTTCAAAGATTCCGGTCGATGCCCTTGTCAACCTTCACCGTAACCGTACTGTAGGCCCATTATTTCACTAACTAAAGGTGGAATATATTCTCTCTGTAAAGTTATAATGAAACAGAAACACCTTTTGATGGTAAAATAATACTACTGTAATTGTACTACTGTAACACCAAACTTACAAATGAATTTTTCTAAAAGTCTTAGTATCTAATTTTCAAGTGATGGTATGCATTTTTATAAAAAACCTATGTTTTTGTTATGGAATGTTTATATTTTTAAGCACATGAATCTCCAGCACAAAAATAAGTGTTCTTATGTACGAGACCTATTTTACAGCTTACAGAATACAGTGGCCTCCAAACAACATTCCTTGTATTCTGAGAATAAAATATTTTTAACCACTCTAGACAGGATTTAAACCAAGCTTTTAAGATAGAGTTTTCGTTTTCTAAACACTTTTCATATATCTTTCCACCATGAAACCACTTTTAATTGCTCGAAATAAAAACTAACTTTATTGCTGACAATTGTGACATTCAATTACAATACTCCCCTACATGGTACTGTGTTTCATTGAGTTATGAAAATATCCTGAACATAACTAAGCAATTCACGATTTCACTCTGGTGATAAAAATATTAAATGTTACATTTAGGCTAACTAGAAATTTAACAAATACACAACACTTTTCAACACAATTAACAAAAAAAATTTATAAAAATTAATAAAAACAAAGGTTGGTAAATTGTTTTTTAAGTAATTGTATTTTCAAAGTGTATTTATTTGATGTAACCCTTGAGAGAAATTCAATTAAGATTGATGATGATTACTTATCAACACGAAGCCCTAGATATTATGTATTAGTACATTTTTATTTGTTTATTGAACTAATGATAATGTTCAGTTCAACTGCTGTGGCGTGGAGGGACCTCATGAGTATAGCTTAACAAGATGGTACAATGACTCTGGCCAGAGCAAAGAACCCAGGAACGTTCCCATCACTTGCTGTGCCAGGTTTACCTCTGAGGTGAGTCGTTTGGGAAAATTGCGATTTTCCAAAAATTCTAAACTAGGACAACAATATTTTATGAAATCAGGTACAGTTCCACAAAGAACCCACGATGTATTAGCGAAAGAAAAGTTCCATATACAAGGCGTGTTAGATATATTTTCACGCATTATAAAAATCGCATCATAAAATACATAAATGTGTTGAACTCTGAGTAATTTAGCGAAGAAATTCTCTGAATATTCCAAAAAGACTCTTTCAAACAGTGCTGCGGCGGTAATTTAGTCATTTAAGGTGTTAAAGGTTATACGTGTCCTCTTTTTTATGAGAATTAAAAAAGGAACATTTTGTAAATGGCACATACACTTACTTGGCATTGTTAAATTACTTAATCGATAAAAACTAAAACAGCTTGCAAGTCTATTCCAACTACCAATAATTACGATATGTGTTTAAAAAACCTGTAGGATATCATAACATTCATTGTACACTATTTTTGCTCAACAATTTTAATTGTTTAGCATTTTAATTGTTTAGTGTAGTTAACGCAACGATTGCGTAAAGATAGTGTTAACGACACTAGTAGAAAATTAAAGGTACGAGCCTTGGCGAGTGCCTTCGAAACTTCTACGAGTGTCGTTAACACTATTTACGCCAGTGGCGTACATTACCTGCGACAGTGTTTTAATTACAAAAAATCACTACTCATAACTTCTAAGAGAGGTTATGTTTTCGTTTATAACCTCTCTTTGCCACTGACAGTGAGTGATGCAACGGAACATTGTACCAAACACTAATTGCACCACTCAACAATTAAATTGGCCTGAACAGCTGATTAGTTGAAGTTCGAATCATTACAATTTTACTTCTTCTCTCTTAATCCTTGAAGCTTATTGATCCGTTACCCGTTTTGTTATGAAAAACTATGCTGTTATTAAAGTAAACAATGCTGTTATGAGAAACATTTTAATTCTAAGAACTGAGCTGAAACGGCTACTTTAGAAAACGGTCGTAGGTAAATTATTTTACAATTATAAAATCAATGTCCTCTAAATCTGGTACCTACAATGAAAAGTCCCACTTCCAACAGCCATTTAATCAAGTTAAAATCACATGGAATGTCTGCTACATCTTGTTAAGATCTTCAGAACCTAATACTGCTTAAGAACACTTCACGTAGACACTCAATATTTTACACCTTATTTATGAAAAGATTTAGGAGAAACCATTTGTCGTGTTGCAGGAGAACAGTGCGGGAAGTCCAATAAGTGTTGTGTCCAGAGTTTTTCACGGAACTGTAAGTATTGAAAATATTTTTTTTATAAGTAATTTGCTCTTCGTACTACAGTACTTTTATTACCCACTATCTGATTCAAAGCTTACCGAGACGTATACAAATTTGTAATATGTATGAAATAGTTTTGTAGGTGCATGTAGGTGCATTAGAGCCTACCCTTCTGCTGAGAATTCTGTTGCTAAGGGGGTACCTCAGGGCTCCGTCCTGGGACCAGTCCTTTTCCTTCTTTTTATTAACAACCTCTCTTCCTGCATAACCTCCTCAAAGTTATCCCTGTTCGCCGACGACACCTCTCTCTCAGTTTCTAGTTCCAATTTTCTAAATCTGGAACAAATTAGTTTTTTGGATGCAAACGCTATAATTCAATGGTTTGGTGACAGTTTATTGAAAATCAACACAGACAAAACATAGCTCATTAACTTCCGCTTATCAAATCAATCAAACCGATCAAACAGTGGGTTTAGTCTCCTTCTGGACGAAACTGAGGTCCACCCTACACCAAATGTCAAGTTCCTTGGATTGATCTTAGACGAGAATCTTAGATTTCATGACCATATTAAATACATTCTAAAAAAACTCAGTTCTGGTATCTTCGTTTTACGTAACCTCAGGAACAATGAGAATCTGGAGATAATGTTGACGGCATACTATGGACTCATTTCCCCACTTAGCATACGCCGTTCCTATATGGGGATGTGAGTGCCAGCAAACTAAAATGTTGTTTAAACTCCAAAAAATGGCTGGGAGAACTATTTTCTCTCTAAAAAAGCGCAAATCCTGCCGACAATATTTTTCCAGTTCAAATATTTTGACGTTCCCATCCATTTACATTCTTGAATCTTTAACATTTGTGAAACAGGAATTTTCTAAATTTGACCTTTCTGTAAAAAAACCAATACACATTGCGCAATTCACACACATTACCTATTCCTAAACATTCATCAACTTTCTTCAAGAAACACTTACTGTACAATGGCATAACACTTTTTAATTCGCTTCCACTTTTTCTTAATTGAACCAAACATGTTAAAATTTAAAAGACAATTAAAATCTTTGTTGATTAAGTTTACCTGTTATAGCGTCCAAGAATTTTAATCTAAACTCAGGTCCATGAATAGTGATGCAAATATTTATATATAAATCTGCACAATTGTATATTGTATAAGATTGTATATTTGTAAATAGTTCTTAAGTGTATGTATCCAACTTTTATTTCATTTTGACTTAGCCAATAAAACTCGTATATTGTTAATCCTGGCTGAATAAATGATTTGATTTGATTAGATTAAATTAGTTATTTGTGTAAGTAGTGGGCGAAAAAGCACTTTTCTGCACACGAGAGAAATGTTTACTCGAGTGCAGCAAAGAGAGTTTACACTATTCCGTGCATAATAAAAGCAGCGGATTACGTGCATAGTAAAAGCACGTTGTTTTGTGTTGTTTGGTTGGAATACTGGTGTTTGCCAAAGTAAAATCTGTGCGCCAAAGTAAGGCTTTCTGTACTATAATCTGTGCAAGGAAACCCACATTGTCGGGTGACTGTAGGAAATAGCTATTTGCGTATTAAGAGCGCAAAGTACGCAATTGTCGCTCGAGAATAGTAGATGGCCGTACGAAAATTTAGCTGAGTCGAATTTGGAAAGCGGTAATTACTGTTTGTGCTTGTAAAACGGACAAGATTTTCCCCATCACTATAATTAATCTACTATAGTATCTACCCCATCACTATAGTTAATCTGGGTGCTACCACACCCAGATTAACTTTTTAGATTTATCACGTATTTAAGGTAATTTAGTTTATGTTTGCCTTTTAACGATTTTTTTATTTGCTTACCGAATGTTAACGTACCGGATCCGCGGCTGTGGTTGGTTTAGAAACGACAATTGTTAAATCAGGTGATTAGCGAGCGGTAATGATCCATTCCTGCTCTTAAGCGGCAATGAGCTATTTTGCGTACTGTTACAGGTATGGCAATGTGATCATTTCCATGTTGTTGTAGGACAAATCAGGACTACCAAATAGTTGTAACAAAGAAACTAATAGAGTAATTGTCTAATAACTAAGGTGCATATTGTGACGTGATTATTAAATGGTTATAGGGTAGAGTGAATGAGTAGGCTACATTGATTGAATTTTGGGAACAAAAGACTATTTCCTTTACTAAAATTTTGGATATTTTTATCTATTCTTGTATTTTTTTATAAACAACTTGAAGTGAAACATTTCATGTTTAATTTAAGTTAGTAAGAGTTAATTGATTTAACACATCTTCTACATGGCACCATAAAAAAATTAGTGGAAATAGCATCTCCACTTTGCTTGGAAAAATCAACTCGCAATGTAAATGTTTTTTTTTGTCATTCTACAAACTTGAACAAGCGTTGCAAATTGAGAGTTTCGCATCCTAACTTTGAAACAAATATTGCCCTCTGTGTGAATGAATTATTTCCATGTAAACACAACAATACTGTCATTTGTTTTGCTCGACGTTATAAGTGAAGTAAACATTTCTTTGTCCTCTGCATATTTACTTTACTCTGCACTACTTTCACCCAAAACACTTCATGTGCATTTACCTCAAAAAGGTTTGGTAATAATAAAATCATGTATGATTAGTGTTTTGACTTTGATCATATTTTTTTTTACAATATAGTTTCATGAGGACAGCAATGGCATTGCAAATATATCATAGTCACCAAGCAAACGAAAATTATTATAGACATATTTAACAATTCAACATTTATGATATATAGTTGAAGAAATACGTCTCGATTTACTGTATAAAACACACACACACACACACACACACACACACACACACACACACACACACATTTTTGAGAACAGCCAAGATCAATCTTATGACATAAAGCAAATTGGTTCTTGAATCACCTAAGAACTACATCATACAAAATTATACACACCAAAAAGTAAAAAAAAAATATTTTTACTAGACTTACAAATTAATATTGAAAAAATACATTCTGGAAGTATATTATGATTTTAATGTATGTAATGAGTCTAAATTACATACCTTTGAAATCATTGTAGATTATATTTTATGAGGGATAATTTATTTTTGTTTTGGGTTTTTTATCAGTAAAGAGGACGAGTCCTCATATTGAATGAACTTACATTTTAGTAATTTATTCATTTTATTTTGTAAATACAAATGGTCATTATACTTTTTTACAGGTGGAAGAAGTGTGGCAAAACCCGAAATTAAATAATGAGACTGCTTGTCAAAGGAACAGACCGAGAGCGCGATATTCCACAGTGAGTGTTGTTAACAAACAAAAATATGTTAAACAATAGTTTGATGAAATACAATTATTTGTGCTGATAAAGCCGAATGCTGTTTAGTTGCACAGGGTTAATTTATTGTACTCCTTAATCATTGATTTTATGTTTTTAGATAGCTCATTCAATCATTCTGGCTTGTTATTACAGATAACATGTATATCGTTAAATTACAATATATGTATCTTACTAATATTATAAATGTGAAAGTTTGTGTGTTTGTTTGTTTGTTTGTTTGTTTGTTTGTTTGTTTGTTTGTTTGAAGTTCAATCACGCTTAAACCACTGGACGGATTGGGCTGAAATTTGGCATGATGATAGCTTACATTCCCGATTAACATATAGGTATATTATTATCTCAAAAATCCATTCGGGCTCCGCCCCAGTGGCTCTGCAGTTCCCCATGTTAACCTTATGAGTATTCATATTTAAAGGGAATTAAAGCATTTAGTCAGCTGTTTCAACTAAAAAAGGTTGGTTCTATGACATACAAAAGCATTAAAAAGTTATAAGATTTACCAACAGGGTGCAGCACTATAATTATTTTTGCATTTATGTACAGCTAATTTGAACTAAGCAGCAACAACAAACTATGATACGCAATGGGAACTGTCAAAGTAGGATTGTATACAGTTATTTTTTTATATCATGAATAATTTGTGATTTTTTGCGAATTTTTAATAGTTTATTTTTCTTTATAGTTTAGGTGAAGTGGTAGTACATTATGGTTGGTAGATGTGTAATACTATAGTATATCGTCAATTTAAAGAAGCAAATTTTATCAAACTGTGTCCTCCCCCATTGCAAATGCAAAGCTTGAGTATAACTGCACTACGCATTTTAAACTTATATGCCAACCCCGTACGAAGGACGGGTTCTCTGCTAGTATTGTTATATAACAAATGTTCTTATTCATAAGAACTAAACGTCAATAGATACTACTTAAATTAAATTTAGTTTAGTTAATTCTACCGTTTATTAAGATTGAAATTTTCAATTTTGGAGCAATGATAAGAAATCAAGGTCAGTTATTTACACTAACGAATGAAATGTGAGACTTATATTAAATAAAAGAGTTTTACTATTGTTATAATAGTTGTATGAACAACTAAGACTTTGAACTTTCTTGTTCACTTTATTGTAACTTTTAACACAACATTTAACTGTTACAGGGCTGCTGGGAGCCTATAAAGGAGTGGTTTTTGTCCCAAAGTTTAATACTAATGCTTGTTCTCATAGTCATCATGGGTTTACAGGTAAGAAAACCACCAAACATTTGGTATAAAACTAAAAACTTATTAATCGAACAGTCATTTTGTTGTTTTATTTTTAACTATTGATCACAGGGTTGAGCATAACTTTTCAAGTTATGAAACAAGGAAATGCCTCCAACGTCGCATCATGTGCTCGAGAAGAGTTAGTGTGTTGTTGAATTTGCATAATACTGAGAAATCCTTTTCCCAACACTGAATTTTAACACGGAATATTAACTAGATAAGTGGATTAAGTTTAAAGTGCCGTTTATACTGCATAACAATCAACACATGATATAATACATATTTTTATTAAAAAACTCTTGTATATGTTAAGTAGTTTAAAACCTTTAAATTTCTACCAATTAATCGCCATAAAACAAGAAATATTGCCCAACAAAAACGGTATTATATTTATAAAATATAAACAAACTACTGCACAATAGATAATACGAATTTTTGTTATTAAATACTCTTTGCTCGTTTGAAAATCATTTAGACCTATTTCAATTGTATTGTAATGAACCAGATATGTGTTTAATTAATACTGATTTGCAATAACGTTGTACTGACGATAATTCAGATAAGGTTTCCGACGTGTACCTAAAAAAATATGTAAATCACAAAAACTAAATCGTAAAACTCACATACATCATATGTGATATTTGTATCCAAACTGGCTGTAAGTAAATGCCCCCCCCCCTTGGCTAGTACGCCAGCGAGGCCGTGGTGAGAAGATTTTGTCTTGTGGCTGTAAGTAAATGATGCTCCCCATAGAAACAAATTAAGCAACGCTTAAAATTGTACCACTACAGAAATAACATATAGTGCGTTATCAAATTTGGCTTTCTTTTGAGTTCCAGCCGAAGATCCAATTCAAACATTCGTATTCCTAACCTAACCTAACCTAACCCTCAAACCTAGTAATTATTACCCTCAGAAAACATGACTTGCACCCATATCAAATAAATTCTACGGTTGTGCTTCATACCATAGAACACAATCATACCAAAGAACACAGGCCGTGGTGCGAAATGTTTGCCTTGACTGTACTATTTCTTACCTCGCCTAGCCCCGACGTGCTTTGTGAAACCAAAGCACGTCGGGGCTAGGTGAGGTAAGAAATAGTACAGTCAAGGCCAACATTTGGCACCACAGCCTCATTGGCGAGCCAGCCAAGAGTTTACCTCCTCCCCATAAGCTACAGACCTGTGCATATAACTTATCCAGCAAAGCAAGGGGTGAGCCGATACAGTACAAGGGTGGGTACTTATAAAAAGTAGTGGCCTGTACCAGAATCCGAACCCATGAGGTCATTGACTTGGGCTCGAAGTCCGTGGCACTACTGACTGAGCCACCAACTCACCGAAATTGATAATTAGCTCCAATAATACAATGTTTTCGTTGCAGCTGGTTAGTATCGGCTTCTTCGTTGTTCTTCTCAAGAACGTCTGCGAGCTGAAAGACCAGGCACCATCAGCGCCAAGAAGAACCAGCTCTGGAGGCTAATGGAACTGCAGCTGGAACAGGTTATAAAGTGGGAACAGGTTCCAAAGCTGGACCTGGAAATGGAAGCCTCAACTGGAAATGGAACTACGTCACAATGTGCCTCGTTCGAGGCTAGTCTACAACTGTATTACTGGAACCAGGACTTTCCGTGTCAATCGTGTGCCTCTTTATTTTAAGACTTTTAGTGCATAAAATGCAAAGTTCGTATAAGATTGTTAAAATTGAATATATTTATGTAAAATAGGAAGATAAGTATGAAGGACGACGAGTATTTCTCCACAGCAACTAAATGGTGGCTTTGTATCCTTTCTAATGTTTGTACTATTATTCTGATATATTATTTTAGTTAAATTTTGGAATTGCCTTGTAAAAAAATGTTTTGGGGAGATTTACTCTTACATATTTTATTACGAAGGGAAAATCTGTTAAAGATGAATTTTGGAGTGTGCGAAATGATTATGGTTACAGATTATTTGTTTCAAGAGAGTTTAACAATTTATAATCATAAATTACTGGTTATAAAAGGAAATCTGCTTACGTTAGATACCTTCTTTAGATAAGTAATTGGGCTGTGACTTAGTATATTTTATCACTAGGGCCTAAAGTGATTCTTTAGGACACTAGCTTAGTTTAAATTACCGTGGCTTAGCCGAGTGAAAACGGGTGAGTTTTGAAAATACACTTTTGGCCCGTACAATGAACACATTTTTCGTCATGCTGGGCCATTTTTATATATTATTTTTAAGGGGCTTTTTCAGTGCGCACTCAAGTTTTATGTATGAGGCAACGCTGGACAAAGGAATTCCAAATTTCACGTAGGCACGAGGCAAAACCGCTTCCAGAATAATTGGAGCTAGTTGCCCGAAAATTACTTTCATGACAAGCTATGAACGAAACTTTTCATTACGATGCAAAAATACTCACATACAGAATAATTTCTGCCCATTTCTGTTTACGTTTGTATTGTTAAACATTAAAACCGGCTAGTTAAAATGATTAAAAAAATAGTATAAAACACTAGTTAGAGTAGTAAGCTAACGAAGAACTGATTGAGAGCAGGGAAAGCAAATTGAAACAATGGAAAATCAGCTGATTGGTTTCCCTTTTTTCTAAATAAGATCTTGTGAACAAATATTTTTTATATCAGCTGTTAAAAAATAACTACTTTTGCAGTGAGTAATGACAACTTATAGTTCGTTTATTGTTTTACTTTGTTAGCTGCCATAGAAGTGTTATCTTTTTTCCCTGGCATTAAAAATCGAACAACCTTTAATTTTTATTAACGTACAAAATATGTATTACGCATTCAATGCAATAAGACATTCAGACTGACTTCTGAAATTATTTTATATTTAAACTTGTCTGAATATGAAGAGTAAATACCGTAAAAATAATAGTTTGCGCAACGATTGCGTGAAGATAATGTTAACGACACTAGTATAACATTTAAGAACTTGGCGAGTGCCTGAAAAAATTCTATAAGTGTCGTCAAGACGATTTTCCCGAGTAGCGTACACTACCTACAAGAGTGTTTTATAATTACTAAGAATCAGTACTCATAACTTCTAAGAGAAGTTATGTTTTCGTTTATATTATAACCTCTCATCGCCACTGATAGTGATGCAACGAAACATTGTACCATTGCTCCACCCAACAATTAAACTGGCCTGAACAGCTGATTAGTTGACGTTCGAAGCCTTACAATTTTACTTCTTCTCTCTCAATCCTTGAACCTCATTGGTCTGTTATTCGTGTTGTTAAGTAAAACTATGCTGTTATGTTAGTAAACAATGTTGTTATATGAAACTTTTCAATTCTAAGAACTGAACTGAAACGGGTACTTTAAAAAACGGTCATAGGTAAAATTTTTTGAAACACATGATTTAAAACTCTATCAAATTTTTATAGTGATATAAAGATTTTTTAATTGGAACTATTTCTTCCGGCAACATTAGCTGATGAGTTTTACAGTTAGAAAATGCAACTTTTTTAAAAGAATAGTGCTGAGTATTTTCATCAAAATTCCTAAAAGAAAACCACTTGGAGTAACGTTATGCAATCGACTTCAGCTGATTATTTTCTACCCTAGGGGGAAATGTAGGAAGAAAAACCTTGTATTCAAACTCACATGTATTAAACGCATCAGTTTTTAGCTGCAGTCTGACGAAAAATGTTTTATTCATTTTTATTATCAGCAAAATAAAGGTAATAAAAAAGACCTCCAACTAACACAGTTACGTGTATTATATCTTTATTTTACATATTTAGAGCTAAGAAAATTTCTCAAGGATGGAAACGGTAAAACATCTCAAATCTTTTATTTACTTTTTCCTCTTGTCTGACTTAGGTATAAGGTTTTAGCCTACACTTAATAAGGATGCCTGTTTAGGGTTTGCACAATAAATAAGCATAATATGCTGTATATATTTAAGTACTATATAAGACACGTACCTAAAAAATGTAAATATGAAAAACACAGTACGTACATTAGACATATAAAACTCATGTTTCTATGACATTCGCTATATTTTTGAAACAATATCATGAAATTGTGATAGTTATAACTTTTAACATTTACTTTTGAGAAAGAATCCACCGATAATAAGACCAATACAGAGCAGCTTTATTTATTAGTGTTTAATAATCGCTAACCTATTACCGTATGCCATATTAAAATGGTTTAGTCACAGATTATGACAGATGTTACCGGTTCTTTATTGGTCAAATTAATTACAGTTTAACCTGCAGTACATTAGCTTTAGCATTATAAGTGAGAAAGCATGTGCCTTTTAAGGTGTGTGACGCTAAAACATTCAAAACTAATTGAGTAATGAAATGGTACCCAAAACACGTGAGTGTTAAGCACAAGCGGCTTTACGGCATAACAGTCTCTAAAAAATATTCAGGTTTTTTTATTTTGAACTAAAGTTTTTAGTTTTGGTATTTTCGAACTAAGGCAATACTTAAGGTAATCGTAATAAACTTGTCTGTCTAACCTAAAATATGTTGTGTACTGTACATGTTAAAATAAGTTTAAGTTCTACCATTGATAAAACATACTCCTAAAATGTGTTATCTATGGCTCTACCTAACACCATTGATGGAAAAGACGTAAAAAAGCAATGCTATCTTCAGTTAAATTCTTTACTCACCATTATAAAATGCAACATATTGAAATGTTTATTCATAGATCATTTTTAAGTAGTATTTATCACGAATATTTAAGTTGTAAACATCATGTTAAAGCTAGTTTTAATAACGGCAAATATAAGAAAACAGCATAAGAGTGAATGTTTCAATGTTTGAATAAAGGTTTACAATAAACTGAATTCGTTTAACGAGTTTTTATCCTAATGTCACATGTTTTTTTTTGGCTCTAATATATGTTTTAAGTACAGTATATAATATGATGTTGAGTTTATGTATACAACTGCTTCAATGACTTCATACTCTTACCTATAACTACAATGATCAGTATAAAAAATAACATTTTTAAATAGATTTGCGTTTAAAATAGATTGGAATTTTCTGGCTTCTAACACAGCCAAGTTTTTGATCTACTTATAAGACAATAACTTACACATTTTCTTGGACAATACGTCTTGAATTTTTATAGAACCACTATCCGATCTGTTTTGTTAATAAAGCATAGAATACTCCCTAAGTAAGTTTTATATATCTTTAAGACCAAATTAAAAACCTGTTCAAACCAAATGTAAGAGAATCAACACATTTGTATACAGTATAATTTTTTTATGCTAGGAAGAGTTAATACGTGCTATAGGGGTCGGCTGACATCAGAGATATCGGCATATTTGTAATATTACAATAACTTCGACATTTTAGTTAATAATTTCAAGTTTTAAAAGATTTATATTTTATTTCAGTTATATTAGATCAGTCTTCCTTGAAGGTACATTCAAAGTTGTTACATGCTTTCATAACGTTTGTATCATTTCATAACACAGAGAGAAATAAGATGAGATATTTTTCTTCTCCTCCCCCTTCCTACTTTGTCCCTTTAACTTATATCTTAAATTCATTCGATTTACTTTGACGTAGTACAAGCTGCATTCAAAGTTCCACCTTTGTTCTACTTATACATACAATAAGTTGATAAAACAATATATATGTCTACTTAGCCTCCTAAATGTAGCTATTAAAAAATACATTAATATTTGTTTTTTGAAATGCAATATTCTAAATTAATGTAGGGATGAAAAATCATCGATATATTTTAATCAAATAATTTCTATTCAGGTAAAGTTAACAATACATTACCTATGTCATAGAATACATAATCAGAATACACTTAAACTACAGTTCTAAAGCTAGAATTACAAAATGTATCCACAGCTTACTCCTAATATTTACATTTCAGGGGTTACTCACAGAGAAGTAATATTACTTCTCTGTGGGTTACTATATTCCAGTTCCTCTGGTCCAAAAACTCTTGGATGCTGTATCAGGAGATATTTAATACTTGTTTCTTTAGGCATCTTTTGAATTTTGAGTGGTTTGATTCCAATTTTAAGCGAAATGGAAGGCTATTGTACATTTGAATGCTATTGTAAAGACAATGTGTTTTAAAGGAAGATGTTGAGTCTTTAGGCATTGGCAAATTATGGGAGAATTTTTAAGAGAATACGGGATAATGTGGTGGTTCCTGAATCAGAGAACAATGGGAGATTATGTTTTAAAAAAATTACATAGATGGATGGACTGATGGAAAAATCTTCTGCAAGATTGGTGTTTGGGCAGAGAAAAAATTGTTCTTATACTCAATTTTTGGAATTTAAACAGGAATTTTGTAATGTTACTTTCATTAACCCATATGGCTATAACATATGATAAATGAGGGTAAATAAGTCCGTAAAATGTGTATACATTAGGACGTCGTAGTTTGCAGTTTTCTTTAAACTACGCAGCACAAAGATTCCGGAGCTTACTTTATTTGAAACATGTTTGATGTGTTTAAGTAAGTTAAGATTTTCATCTATGGTCAGTCCCAGAAACTTTACACTTTCAGTTGGGTGAACTGCACTGTCATCCAGAAGTAAACTGAAATCATTGTTTATTTATATTTAGAAAAGAGAATTATATGTCTTTTCTGTGTTGACAGAGAGTAAATGGTCATCAAACCACTCAATCAAATTGTTGGCTTCGCCAAGGTTTATTAAGTCTAGCAGCCGACGCTAAGATTCTAAACTACCTTTTGGCATAAAATAATTTGCTTAACATAACAGCTGTAAACATTCAGCTTTTGTGTCACAAATTCAGCATTTGGATAAAAATGTAAATACATACCTAGGGTTGACTTATTTATACTATATGTATTGCTAATCATTGATACGTTCAATTCTTCTGTAAGAGGATGACAGATTAATTAAATATACATAGTAAAATACTAGGATGTTCAAATTATTTTTTTAAAGCAATCTTTGTAATCTTCGATTTGTTTTATAGCAATATAATTTGTTTTAACTAACAGCTGGT